ATATTATTTCAATTTCTCTCCCAAAGACACTTTAACTTCACATTAATGTATAGCATATACTGGTTTCCTTAACTGAAAGGCAACTTCACATAATATGAATAAAATTATTTCCCATTAGATTCTTGCTTGATGGTATATTAAAATGTGTTCTTATTTTTAATACGATATACATAAAAAACATTATATTGACCAGCATGTAAACAAACTATGTCATCCACTTTCAGTAGTCATTTAATATGAGTGATCTATAAAAATACAAGTCCTACTTATAATAGACTGCTGAGCTTGAATTGTAGCACACTTCTTACTAGTTGTGTGACCTTTTGCATATTGCTGAACTTTTTCTTGCTTGAAGTTCATCATCTCTAATATGGGGCTAGTAAGAATAACCTACTTCGCAAGATTATTGTTGAGTAATAAATATGTTAATATATGTAAAGTGCATGACACAGTGTAAGAACTCAGTAAGTTTAGCTATTATTATTATTACCACCATAGTTATTATGATGTGAAGGGTATCTCTCCCTGTCATATCTTCAGTAAAATAAAGAATGGGATTCTGTAAATGTGGAAGAGGGCAGTAAAAGAAGCTTGGTTGTTACAGTGCTAGAATTGACCCAGATTCATCCAGACCTGCCCAAATGGCATTTGATTCCTTTTCAGAGCATCAGTGCAAGTTAGTGTTACACAAAATCGGGAGAGTTTTAGAGCAAAGGGAAACATAATCTAGTACGCATGTATATAGAATTGAATTATTTTAAGTCTTTCCTCTTTTTCTTCTAGAAATAACATGAGATTTAGTATCAGAGAACTTGTTCCAGTCCTGCCTTTGCCTTCTTATGAACTGTAAAAAACCTAGAGTTAGTTGGCAAATTCTCTGTGGACCACTCTTTCTTCCTGTGTAACATGGGGCCTCCAGTAACACTTTTTATTGCTGGACAACTGTTGCTTGCTTTTCAAGCTTCTGCCAATGTCACTTTAACTCTGTGAACCTTTGTCCATTCCTGAGCTGGAGTGGTATTGATCATCTGTCCTCTATCATGGCAATTTTCCATACCATTTATTTTCTTTCTTCTCTCCCCCCCGTAGCTTGAGCATCATGAGCAAGCGCATTTCTGTCCTGTTCGCATTTACAGCGTGCATACTGCGGCACCGTTGATGCTCAGCTAAATCCTTAGCCATGAGAAATCAGTCTGAATAGCCATCTCAGTTGGTTGGACTCATTCTGCTCACTTTATTCAGATGATGCAGAGGACGATGCTCTAATTTACAGAGCCACATTATATAATTCTAGAGACTCGCCTGCTGCGTGTCTCCATGTGACTAGTTTCCTCCAGAGAATAAGGCAGGCTGGACAGGATTGTCCAGGCCAGGTTACCATGCCAATTATTTTATCTCTTCTTTGTATGTTTTATGAATTGGAAAATGATAGGAATATCATACGTCAGTATTGGGGAGCCCATGAGGCTGAATTACATACATCGGTTTCCCAAGTTTATGGGCTTTAGGCACGTTGTCAAAGATATGAGCTCATCTGTCATGCTCTTTCTGTCTAGCCTAGCAGCATATTTGCCCTTTAGAAATGTAATTATGCGGAGGCTAATTAGTGGGCTATTGCAGTTATTTAGGTGACAGGAAAGATAAAGGGGCCCTGACAGCCATAAGGATGAACCTTAAGGGGCAGAATAAAGAATCTTAGAAAATGAGACTCGGTAGGCTTTGGAGACTTTATAAAAAACATGGAATGGTGAGGATAAGTGAAAAGTTGAGAGTGATAACCAGGTTTCTGATTCTAGCAACCTGATAGTGCTAAATGTTGAGATTTTCCCCCCTTTTATTTACTTTATTATTTTTCTATTTTGCAGTGAGATATACTGTTTGTAATATTTGGATGTACTGCTTTTGGAATTCCATTGAGCACCTAGGTTGACGTGGCTCAGTAAACTGTTGAAAATAGAGCTGGATGTCAGGAGAGAGAACTCAGCAGATGAGCTACATGTGTGCATGATGTCATGTAGAAACAATATTTATTAACAAAAGAGAAAAAGACTAAGTCCTCTGAAACACCAACTTCTTTTAAATGAATGAAGGGACACTTTCTTCATTTTCTGTGGAATGGTTCGAGGGATAAAAGAGTACTAGGGGAGGCTGGTTTTCCAGAAGCCAAGGAAATAGTTTTAGGAAGGAAGATGAGTTCAGTAGTCATAGGTGCTGCAGCTGAATGGGCTGTTCACACAAACATGCTATTTTTAAAGTCTGGTCATTAGTAGAAGTTACAGTATGACATTCTATGGAATTCTGGGAAAGAGCCAAAATTGGATTTGTGGGTAAATGAAATTTGAGTCATTGGATGTATACACGATAGACACCCTTAAAGGAAATCGAAGTTTTTGCAGTACTCAGAGGCAGATGAAGGAATGAATAAAGGTTGTAGAGGTTTTTTTCCGCCCTTATGCTAACAGGCACATGAGCATTTTTAAGGGAAAATGTGGCCTTAAGGGAAAGAAACCTGTAATGCAGAAAGAGATGGAAGATACTGGATAAAGGGGAGTCTCATGGAATGATTTGAATTTCTAAAAAAGGCAGAAAGAACAGATTAAATATCTGGATGGTATTTTTCCTCTGGTGTCATTAGCCTTGTATGAAAGGAAAAGCACCTCTTTATTTGAATCTCAGGGAAGTGATGAAGACAATTAAGTTTGTAGATAAGTTTCTAAAATGAGATAGTATATATGAACTAATTAATAGGAAAGCATTTTGACAATAAAATTATTGTTATAAAGAGTATTATTCCTATTTTGAAAAATGAGTGTTCTTTTTCTTTACCAATTTTACTCACTTTTAAAGGCAACCAGACATTTTCACATACCCTTGAGTACTGCAGAATACTTTGTTCTTCTTTGTTCCCAGCAACTGAAAAATACACTTAACAGCAAAACGCATCAACTGCATGGTCAAATTAATTGTTCAAAATTTTAAATAAAAGTGTACATTTATGTATTGATGTAAGTGATGTTCATGTGGTTTGGAATGGTTCGCTCTATTCAAATGACTTTTTAAAATTTTTATTTGTGGACACTATTGTAGATGTCCTTTCTAACAAACAGTTAGAAATAATGAGGTTAATATATGCTAATGACAGGAGTGAGCAGCCTTTAATTTCAAAATAATTTGCTTTAGATATTTTTTAATGATGCCCATTAAATAATAAACTGAGTATTTTAAACTACTCTACAAAATGATAAGTTTCTATCAGTAGCCTTCTCATTTCTCAGAGCTTCATTTTACCAGCCCTTCAAAGGCTTCAGCAGCTGGCAAGTAGAATCTGCAATTTGAGGTTGATAACAGCAGTACTCAGGCCCCAAAGAGGTGCCAAATGTCTGTAAGATAGTTGCTGATTACAAGAGAATAGGGACAGCCCAAAAGGCCTCTGTCAGAGCTTTTTGAACTTAGTCCAATCCCCTGACACTGGGTTTTCATAGATATGATTAGAATTGATTCTCAAATAGGTCATGAGGGTGGGGTCTCTGGGATGGCTGGGGTAGTCCATGTGGCCACTGCCTAAGAGCCTTGGGGTGAAGAGGCATGGAGTCTGAGGGTCTGTAGTGAACTGAAATGTGCCCAGTATTGTGAAATTCAAGCTTCTTTGACCAAATACAAATAAGGAAATAATAATGTGGATAGTCTTCAATCTTTTTCTTTGTGTCTTTACTGCATTTGATGAAATTCTGATTCTCTTTATCCTGTTGACCTATATTACCTTTGCCTTTTGATCAGTCATGGACCAGTATTTCCCAGACAGTATTGATGCCTTTGTAATAACCTGGTTATTATTTAAAAGGAAAGGAGTGAAAGGAGAGACCAGATAATATAGGCATGTCATTTGTACAGCTTTGCCAAAAGCGGCATTTAACGTTCTACAAGTCTGCTCCCCACTTACTGATGGGGGAAGGGACTGGACGAAGGCAGCTTAGACATGCCCAGTAAGGCCTGAGTGAGTGGGAAGGTGCCTACCTGCTTGCCGGTCAGTCACACGTGAAAGCCAGGCAGTGGCCAAGGTGGGCATGGCCACGGCAAGTGCAGGAAACCTGATATTTAAACTTCCAAACAATGGAAGCTCTCTCTGTCTCTCTCTCACATGCACCAGGCCCTCTTAAGGCTCCTGCTGCAGGGGGAGGTGCTGACCTGTGCCCACATGGTGCACAGCCACGTTAGACTCCACACATAGACTAATAGACTTTAATCTGGCCAGAATGCTGAACCATACCTGGCGGCAACATGGAACAGAAACTCTGGACACTGGCCTTATTTCTGGCTCTGCTGAACTCCCAGCTGCAACTTTTCCAGGACTGGCTTAAGGGGCAGGTGACTTTGGAACCCGAGAAATGTAATTCCATGCCAATAAAATCTTCCACATCTCCTCCCATGGGGGCTTCTGAAAATGCTTATTTCAGTGGTGCCCTAAGAACCTTCACCTCACTTCCACTTGTGTCTGGGAAGTCTGGTCCATTAATTCCTCCTGCATCAATTGGCTAGTGAGAGGTGTTTCATGTTTAAATACATATATATACATGTATGTATGTATGTATGTATGTGTGTGTATATAGATATATTTAAACTGTATGTGTGTGTATTTAACTTAGACAAGTTTCCTCTCTGAAGAGTTGAAAAAAATGTGTGTGCTTCAATAAGAAATTTAGGTGGCTTGTAATTCCAGTGGGAGAGAAAAGGCTGCGAGAAAGAGGCAAGTTCATTGAGGGTAGAGTTTTTTGAAAATGGTTCGTAATACTTTCTAATGCAACATAAATGCAGTTGATACCTCTCCAATATTTTCTCTCCTGAGGAATAATTTCCTTCTACTTAGAATTTATTTTTATATTACCAGGTCAGCCTTTTTATGGCCCCTTAACCATTTTTATTTTTAAAATATAAAATAAAGCTTTGTGGTTTTATGTATAGTAACACAGTTCTATCTCCAAATTTCTGTTTTCCTCCTGCAGAGGGTTACTTCTACAGGAGAGCAGCAGGTTTGCAGAAGCATTACATTATTATAAACTGGCAATCGGGAGCAGGCCTACACTGGCTTGTAAGTAATAGTCAAGTTTTTCTTTTATGTACCTCTTCTTTACACATGAAAATTATTTGGTGACTTACAACCTCACAGAGAATAAAAACATAGTACCCCTAGTTTTGAAAACTTTCCAATCAAATTATAAACCTCCAACAATGATATCTCACTCAATTTAATCATGTTTTGATATGAGTTTATTGTTTTTTTAAAAATATGTTTTTATTGATTTTAGAGAGAGAGGAAGGGAGAGGGCTAGTGAGACAGAAACATCAATCGTCTGCCTTCTGCACACCCCGTACTGGGGATCTAGCCCGAAACCTGGGCATGTGCCCTGACCGGGAATCAAACCTGTGACCTCTTGCTTCATGGGGCGACACTCAACCACTGAGCAACACTGGCCAGGCTCAGTTTTTCATTTTTTAATATATTGAGAGAAATACAACTTTTATTCATCTATATTTTAAGTTCAAAATATTTTAAACTTTTTTAGGGCAGAGACTATTCCATGTATTTTTCAGTGATACCTGTGCTTCTTGCATTGTTTCCATATATATTTGTTCCCTAAGTATTTATTTCTTGGTTTCTTTTCAAATCAGAAACAGTCCATAGAAAGTTAATTGAAGTAAAGATAAGTTATTGTTTCCACAGTGTACATCATCGTCTCACATGTATGTTTTCACTTTTTTCTCCCAGCTGCATATTTAAACACCGGTATTATTCTGATGAACCAAGGAAAGACAGAAGAAGCCCGACGTACATTCCTAAAGTGTTCTGAGATCCCTGATGAAAACCTAAAGGACCCTCATGCACATAAGAGCTCGGTGACCAGCTGTCTGTACAACCTGGGAAAACTCTACCATGAGCAGGGACACTATGAGGTTGGCCCCAAACCTTTCTCCCCTTCTCCTACCCCTTATTCTGATCCAGTCTCAGTATTTTCTACCCTATGATCTCATCACAGGGACACTGATCATTTCAGAAGCTAATGTGTGTTTTTATTAAAAGAGTTTCATGGTGAAATTCACTCAGGGGGGAGAAAAAAACCAAACACTTCAGCTAATGAATACTTAACAGATTTCTTTACTGTTAATTTCTCAGAGCAACCCTTCAAGAAAGGGTTGCTTCACAAGCTCACTTGCTTGTCATCTGTGGCTTTATGACCTAAGACACATTGTGGTTCTTACCTTATATCCAATGTTTGATCTTAAAAAATATATTGTATTCTGAGTATTAAGTATTAAGATGATGTAAGTTTTTTTAAAACAAAAATTAAATGAAAATTAGTTTATTTTTTTTTTAATTGGGTGAGAAGAGAAGTGATGGAGATGGGCCCTTGGACAAGAAGTTGGGAGGTGGACTCTGTCCTGTCCTCCCTTTCATAGGAAGCATGTTTGCATGGGTTTCTTTGTCACATTCAGTATCACTCCTCCCCCCCCCCAGACCACACCCCTAATATACTCTTTCAGGTTGTATCAAGAATGCAATATAAAGATACAACTTCTAAACTAATTGCATTTTATAATCTCAGTGGGTCTCAGTGTCCAGATTTGTTATTTGATATTTTATTTAGATCCTACTTGGTGGCCTGATTTAAAGTACTACAGATTTTAGATGACTCTGGGTGACTTCCAAATATGAACTTTTCTAGTGTTTTAATTGAGTAACCTATGTGAACTAAAATTTTATATTAAAATAAAAGAGCTTGGTAACATTCAACTACTTGTTAAACTAAATTTTTATCTGGCCTTCTTCACTCACTGGGTTGAATTTTTTTATTCATGAAATTGAGGTAGTATGACATCAAAGGGCAACTGAATTATTTCCTCCAATGGACCATTTAGAAATAGCAATGGGAGCTTTTAATTTTGGAAGGATGTTATTATTTTATTTTGGGGGAATGTTCTTATATTTCATCTATTTTTTTGTTTTGTTTTTGTTTTGTTATATTAGGAAGCCCTTAGTGTATATAAGGAAGCAATTCAGAAAATGCCAAGGCAGTTTGCTCCACAGAGCTTATACAACATGATGGGTAAGTAAAACCTTAATATTTCAATTGCTGTTTCAGGGACCGGTGGAGAAATTAAAACCTGTGCTTCTGTTAAATGGAATTCTAATAAGTTATATCATTGATCCTCCTCAAAAAAATCTTTATTCACAACGGGGTACACATTCAAATTTTCACATAGCACACTTGTTCTGACAAGATCAAAGAAGTACATTATCATAGTGATTTTCAACAAATTGTCCAGATCCCAGAGTTGTTGCAAGGGGCTCACAAAACCTTTTGAGTGTTAAGTATTAGCTAGACTCTAGATATTGAAAAAGATGAATAAAGTACACAGATTTTAGTAAAGTTATCAAATTCATGATAGTTTTGATCATGTTATTTTCTTTTTTTTTTAATATGTCTTTATTGATTTCAGAGAGAGGAAGGGAGAGGGAGAGAAAGAGATAGAAACATCAATGATGAGAGTCACTGATGGGCTGCCTCCTGCACAACCCCCACTGGGGATCGAGTCCGAAGCCTGGGCATGTGCCCTGACCGGGAATCAAACCTGTGACCTCTTGGTTCTTGGGGCGACACTCAACCACTGGATCATATGTTGATGCTCAACTGCTGAGCCATGTGGGTAGGCGATCATGTTATTTTCTTAATCAGAAGATCATCAAAAGTAAACAAACTATGATGTAGGGATGAATAATTTTTTGTGCTTATAAAAGATGAGAATAACTGAATCAATTTGTATGGTTTTCATTGATCAGGACTTGGATCTCAATAGGTTTTTTCACAGTTAGTATTTTAAATATGTTTTTATTGATTTTAGAGAGAGAGGAAAAGAGAGGAAGAGAAAGATAAAAACACTGATGAGAGAGAAACATCAACATCAATTGGCTGCCTCCTGCATGCCCCTTGCCTGGGATCCAGCCCACAACCCAGGCATGTGCCCTGACTGGGAATTGAGCGAGCCACCTCTTGGTGCATGGGTTGATACTCAACCACTGAACCACACCCGCTGGGCCAGAATTAGTATTTTAGAGTAAAAATAATACTGTGAAAAATGCAAATGCGCTGCTAAAATCACTCCTTTTTCTACATTTGATAATTTGCTTAATTTTCTTATTAGAAAGTATATAAGCTAGGGCATTGATTTTTCTAAGTCCAAGAGGTCAGGAACTAGAATTTTTAATAAAATATTTACCTATCACCTACAATTGATTTGTGACTGTAAATTGTTACCACAGCTATTTGATGGTGGACAGAACTGAAAACTGCCCTTTCAGCATGTGACTCTTAGAAAGAGTCTCTAAAGTGTAAGGTGCTCTGCTGATTGGTTAACTCTGCTGTTTCCAGATAAGGGAGAGAAGAGAAGGGGTTGCGTTTGTCCTCAAATCAAGTATTTATTTTTCTCCAAAGCACAAACTCATTTTTTATCTTTTTATTAAACTTGGTTAAGTTGTTAAATATTTCTAGACCTCCCTCAAGCATATAAAAGAAATTAGACATCATGGTCTATAGGACTATTTTATACTTCTGTATTCTGTGATTTGAGGAATTTGATACTAATTGTATAGCTTGAGCACACACATAAGAAAATACCTTAAATACTCCTAAACTATAGAATAAATGCCTGTCGAGGATATCCACTTTTCTCTTTTTTCTGAATGACAGAAATTTTCAGAAATAGTTTAAAGACAGAATGAGGTATGGGTCAATAAACAGAAAAAAATTATGATTTGGAATAGGTTAATATATTTATTCCATGTCTCTGGGACCCCTGCCCCTAGTTAGCCTGTGCAGCAGTGGAATGATATAATGCTCACGTTAAAAAGGACATTGGAGTATTTCTAGTTGTTGCTTCTTTTTCTCTTTGCTATAATTACTAAAAGGTAAAATCTACCTTCAATAAATGTACTTTTGCCCTTAAACTCTTACAGTTTAAAACAGTGCCTTATACGGTCCAGCCTTTTACCATCAGTCCGTTTACCCAGATGAAATGTCCATGTCCATAAAGTGTGTGCCTAGAGTGTTTAGAATTAACTTTTCTATATTGACACTGGATGGTTATTCCTGTCAAAACGAAGACTGAAAAGATCATTTTCTCTAACTTTATCTAAAGAGGCACAGTGATTTTAGTTTATTATTTTATTCTTAACACTAATGCTTGGGAAATCCTTTATTCCCAATTTCCCTCAACTATGAAACAAGATGTTCTCCATTTAAACTAGGAAGGGACTTTCAGATCCTTGGCAACGGACTGGATTTGGCATCTTTATTGTTAATAGGAAGTGTGGCCTTCACTATAGTTAGTGATTTCAGAAAATTCATTCAATTATTTTATGTAAATAAATTTGATTGAAAACTCAGCTGGTACCTTGGGATCTGTCTCTCATATGGTTATGCATGCAGACGCTGAGCACACACAGGCAGTGAAAGATAAGTGTGTCCCTGGGGTTATTGTTTAGTCTTTTGTCTTATTCTCTATTATAGAAAGAGGTAGTTGCTTTGCCCAGACTCTGAAATGCACTAAAACTGCAGATTTCTCTCCTAATTATTGTGGCTGCCTTCTGTCTAATTTTATGTGAAGGTCTGTTATCTGACCAGGTTTGTAGTTTCAACTATTTACAAAGCTACAATTTTCTCAGAGAATTTCACCTCCTAATCAAACGGTTGAAATCCTCTGAGTGTTTGCTTTAACTCCTAATACATTTTGATTAGCCTTCATTTGACAAGAAAAAAAATGGCCCAGGAGATAAACTGCCTTATCAGTTCATCAGTTTCATTAGTCTGTCAGCGTGTGCTGATTATCCTATCAAGTTTATCAACAGCCTCGAATGTGTTTTCTAATTCTCACATTTACATATTATTAGTTCCCTTTAGGGATCAGTGATGGATTATAATGTCTGGCTAGATTTAACCTGTAAGTATTCATTTTTCTCATGGCTCATTCATTTCCCCCTTATGACCACTATCTGCAAGCACTTGTTTTATACATACAAAAATTATTTTTTTTTCATCCTATTTTTTCTTTTATTTGGAGTTTAGGAGAAATAAAGGAATATTTGTGAAAAAATGCAATCATATTTGAATGTTATTATTAGTTTAATAACTCAATTCATTGCACTTGGTCTTTTTTAAAAAACACTAGTTCTTTGCATTTTCTCTTCACTTGAACATTTTTTGAAAAACTTATTTTGCTCTATTCTACATAGCAGTAATTGACTTATCCTGAGTACCAATTGTGCAAGGATATTTTCCCAATTGTGTATTAATAGAAAAAAAGTTTGCTTAGTTTACTTCCCAATTTAAATATTTTCCTATATTTTACTCTAAGACTGTTAACTTTTACTCTGGCAGTTCATAAGTAAGTTTAAAAAAACTATTTAAAAATATATTCTCATTATTCTCTTTGATTTCATAAAACCAAGATGATTGAATAACAGTAATTGAGGAGTATCATGCCATTCAAAATTATGTAAATTACCAACATACAAATAATGGAAAGCGGATGCTAAATATTATAAACAGAAATTAAACTTTCACCTAGATGGTGGTTGTAATTAGCAAGGTATGAGAATTCATGAAATATTGGAGATCAAATCACAAAATAACTATTAAAATTGCTTCTAGCCAGTTGTGTAACTTTTTTCCTGTGGGCCTCAGTTTTCTCTTGAGAGAATAGGTTAGATTAAATAGAGATTCAGTATAGTGTGATGTCACATAGCCCAGGTTCAACTCATGGCTTTGACACTTACTAGCTGAGTGACCCTGGGCAAATTCCTTAAGTGAATCCTCAGTTTTCCCATCCTTTAGATGGCTGTTATAGTAGTGTTAGTTTGAAGACTGATTGGGATAATGAAGGGCAAGTTATTGGATCAAATGCCCAGCATAATAAGTGTTTCATAAGATTACTTTCCGCATAATCATTATCATTTCTGTGGGCCTTTAAGCTCCAAGTGTTGATGACGGTATTCTCTATCAGTTCTTTGTGTATTTACCAATGTAAGTATTATTTCTCTGTAGATAAGATTTTGTCGTAGTGTTGGCCTTACTTACTGTCCCTGATTCAACAGGCATTCAACTTAGTTCTGTCCTGTCTAGAACTGCTGTATTTCTCTTGAAGTTCATTTTCCCTTGTCCCTCAGCAACCACAGCTAAAATCATTCTTTGATCGTTAACTATGTTAACCAACATTGAAAGAGCATACTCAGTTAATGACCAATTAACTTAATTTCATTAATAGAGTACTCCCTCTAAATTAAAATTGTCATATTTACATTAGAGTTTCTTCTGTTTTTCTTGTCATGGCATATTCTTCCCCTAATCTCTGTCAAAATTATTATTATTTTTTAAATTTTTAAAAAATATATGTTTTTATTGATTTCAGAGAGAGGAAGGGATAGGGGGGAGAGAGAGATAGAAACATCAATGATGAGAGCGAGTCACTGATTGGCTGCCTCCTGCATGTGCCCCACCAGGGATCGAGCCAGCAACCTGGGCATGTGCCCTGAACGGGAATTGAACTGTGACCTTCTGGTTCATAAGTTGATGCTCAACCACGGAGCCATGCTGGCCAGGCAGTAAAAATTATTTTTTATTTTAACATCAAATACAGGTCTTTATTGAATCTCAGTTTCTCTTTTATTCTGAAATTATTGATGTATTTTAGAATCATAGGATATTGGCAATGGAAGACTCATATCTTAAAATCCTCCTAACATAATCTCTTTTATTTTGCAACATAAAAACGAGTTCTCAAGAAATACATGTTCAGGGGTACAGTTTGTATTAGAACCAGAAGTATAGCTTCCTGCCTTAAATTCAAGTGCTTTTTCTATTTAGGCCTCTGTATTACTGAAACCAGCATGCTTTTTACTGTGTCACTGCAGCTTTCCTTTACCCATTTAAAAATCAGTGAAATATATATACTTCATAGATATATTTTTATTATATATCTACTACATAGATACATTACAAAAAACTCTTTATCGTAACAAAAAAGAATAAAACCTGCAAAATTGTGGTTTCAT